TGTCTCCCAAAGGCAACGCTGGCTTCATCGGCCAGGAGCTACTACCCCCTGCTGAAATCTACACCATTAGACTGGGGGGGACACACGATTCTTCATGACTCCTCTTGCCTTGATAACTATCTGTGTAACTTCCTCCCTCCTTGGAACCAGGACAGCCAGGTTCAGCACTGATCCAGAGGCCATTCCTGCCCTTGACTCCTAAATCACTAATGTGCTGTTATTATTCCTGTGTAGAGGAAACTGTAACTGTATGTATATAAGGGTGTACATCATTACATCAACATTATTTAGTCATTTTAATGCGGTTGTAGCTCAAATGCTAATAAGCTGCTGTACTGTCCTCCATTTCGCACTCTCCAGCTCTTCAGTTAAAGATCCAGTGTGTAACATTTAGGTGGATCTATTTGCAGAAAATTAATATAATATTCATTGGTATGTTTTCATGACCTAAAAAATAGGAAATGTTGTGTTTTTGTTACCTCGTAATGAGCCGTTTTTATCTACAGGGTTGCCTTCCACAGAGTCGGCCGTGTTAAAGCGCCAAACGCTGGATCTAGAAAGGGCAGCCACCCGTAGTTTCTCCTACACACTTCACAGTCCGTACTCATTCCCAGGCTGCAAATACAGATGCCAGCGGTTTTCAGTTGGTTGCAATCTGGAGCTTCAGCACCACTAAATTCAACACACTGGTCCTTTAAAGGTCAGTACTGTCCACATGGTTTGCAGTCAGTGGTGCAAATAGTTAACCAAAGTTGAACTCATTGCGGGAAAACAGCATAAGCTCAGTGACTGATCATGGCGATTCGATAGGAATTAATTGATTTAGAAATGTAATTGTTTAAATGCTGGTGTGACCTTTAGTCCCACCCTTCAGTGTGGCTACAGCCAGCTGGTAAGATACACACATACAAGCTTGACTCAAATGCAGCAAATACAAAAAGAGGTTTAAAAAAAATAACATATTTACAATATAATTGAGAACACTGTCCAATCAAACTATAAAATCTAAAACAAGGTAAATGTACATTTAGAGTTCAGTATATAATACATTTCGAAACAGATGCTCCCTCGAAAAAGGATCTGAATGACAATAATCCGTTGTTTTCCGTTGAGGCTGTTGTTTGCATCCACAGGAAATCATTGTCACATAGTTTTTAACCTCAGATTGTATACAGCCAGCTTCAGCCTCACCTAAATTCAAGGGGGGCCACATGTGGCGTCCGTGTGTTGAGTGTTGCGGCCTGCGGTGTTGAGGTTTAATGGGCAATCGCGTTTCTTCTTCACACCCCACCAACGGCAAGCTTTTTGAAATGGTCGGAGGAGAGACTGATAATTATACTGACACTTCCTGGATCGGCTCGTAAGTGAGGTTCTACAGATGGGGCTTTGTAATGTGAGAAAGACGGAAGACGGCGCAGATGATGTGCTGTGTACAGCAGGTCAGGAACTCCATTTTATTGCAACTTGGGTCTTGTTTTCATAGTTTTGGCCATGGTTTCTATCAGTCATGATGACACTGAACTCACCAGATTATCAACATTTAAACTAAAAGCCCCTGAAATATTTCAGTGTATTTAAACTACTGGCTGCCACATTAGTGTCCCTGGGATTTATTGGCCCACATGATAATGTATACAGGGAATATGAATAACCAGGATTATTGATGATCCCTGCAAACATCATTTAACACACATGATCAAAACTGGGAAAAGACTCATAAGACGGATACTGTGCATGTATGAACACAGCTGTGTCCTCAATTAGAGTCACAGTAGTTAGTTAAACGAAACATAATAATTGATGATCTACGCCCTGAAATGATCATTGTTTAGCCCACAATAGATCCACAATGCCATCATCTTGCTGTGGATGTTAAATGCCATAGGACAGGGAACATAAGAATCCATCAAAGGGAATCATTATTATAGTGTAAGCGTGAAAAATGTGTTGTTGAAAGAATGTAAGTAAAATTAAATTAAATTAAAATATCAATAAATCCCCCTCAGGGACGCCAGTGGACGTCGGACTTTGGGCACCAAGATGGCCGCAAACAGTCCTGATGTGCACACTACTACAGCAAGTAGTTGGTATGAAAACTGAAATCAATGTTTAAAATGGATGAAATGAACAGTTTGTTATCAAGGGGAACGATGGCCAAAACTTAGAAAATAAGACCCAAGATGTAATAAATGAGAATGATTGTTTGCATTTGTTTCAGTAAACACAACGTTTGAGGATCTGAGAGGCAACTGGAGCAACCAGGCTTGTGTGTGTGTATATTCTGTGGGAGATAATGAGGTAATGAGAGTCAGGTGGGAAGACAGGAATGAAAGACAGGTGTGCAGAGGAGAAGGCACAGGGTCAGGTGACTGGCAAAGGCGGGAAACTCGCTGAGGGCAACTGCTGGAGAGACAGAGGGAGGAATTAAAAGATGAAAAACACCCAGAAAATACAATTTAATGGAGCCTCATCAGCCGTTACCTGCAGCTTCCGGTCTTTATGCTAAGCTAAGCCAATCGCCTCTTGGCTCTAGCTTCATAGTTAATACACAGACATGAGAGTGGTATCAATGTTTTCATCAAACTCTGAATTTGTCCCGAAGTAATTTCACTTTAAACAAAGACACTGAAGGTTAAGACTGTATTCCTGTTTGGTATTTGGGGTAAAAAAGCTCATACACCCTCACAATGAATGGGATCACTGGGGTGACACAAATCTGAGGACACTCATGCATTTTACACATTAATCATTAGTCTCACACGGGTAAAATTAAAGGGGATTTGGTCTGTTTACATTATGGGTCATATGTTGTGAGACCAATTAAACACCATTCATCCATTTTTTCCACAGCTAACACACACAAACTGTTTTCTTGGTCTGTTGCCCCCAATTTCTTCTGCGAGGCTCTTCCATCACAACTCCCTAATACCCATACAGCATTTAAGCAGAGCAGTGTGGAGGGGTAGGGGGGAGTGGTGGGAGGACAACTCATATCCCTCCCTGCTTTCCCCTCCCAGGCAGGGTGATGGTCTGTAAAGAGAATCATTAAGACGCAATTTGTGACTGTGGCGCGCACACGCACATCGCCTGAAGAAGACTATTCATCACCGGCGGTCCCATTCCTCACTGTGGAACGAAAAATGATGCAGAGGCTCGCTGCTTGTCTGCACGACCTTTGACCTCCAGTGAGTGCGTGCCTGAACAGCACACGAGCATACGCACTTAAAAACAAAACAATGGGTGGTCCATGGTCATAAATATGTGCCCCCCCCCACAAGGGAGTATGGTATGTAGTTTGAAGGTCTTGCTTTGTAATTGTTGTGTCTCTCTGTGATGGTTTGAGTCTCTTCATAGTTGTCTTGTGTCTCTTTGCGGTCATTTTGCTTCTTCAGAGTCATTGTGCATCTAGTTGTAGCTGTTTTGTGTCTCCTTGTGTTTGTTTGGTGTCTCTTTACGCTCATTTTGTGTTTCTGTTGTTGTTTTGTCTCTCTTTGTGGTAATTTTTTGCGTTATTATGGTCGTTTTGCATGTCATTGTGGTCATTTTATGTCTCTTTGTGGTCATTTTATGTCTCTGTGGTCGTTTTGTATCTCTTTGGGTCGTTTTGTGTCTGTGGTCTTTTTATGTCTCTTTGGGGTCGTTTTGTGTCTCTTTGTGGTCGTTTTGTGTCTCTTTGTGGTCGTTTTGTATCTCTTTGTGGTTGTTTTGTGGTCATTTTACGTCTCTTTGGTGGTCGTTTTGTGTCTGTGGTCATTTTATGTGTCTCTGTGGAAATTTTAAGTCTCTTTGTGGTCATTTTGTGTCTCTTTGTACTTGATTGACTTTCCAAAAACAAATGCCAACAGTGACTTCCGAGACCCTGGTCCTGTGCCTGGTAGGCCTGCTCAGTAATCCCTCCAAGGTCCATCCAGAGGTTTGATCCCAGCAGACCCCTTCCCCGATGAAACGTCCTTGAGAAAGACACTCAGGCTTCCTTTCCTGGCCTGCTGCTGTTTTTGACCTCCATCATGAAAGTCATACGTTTAATATATTCAAAAAATGCAATTACCTAATTATCCTTTATGCATAATGAGCAGGGAGAATGAAAGGGGATGTAATGAAGGACCAGTACTGGGACCATTTCAGGAAACACAATTCCTGCTTTCTGCTTGTTGAACCTCCTCTGTATTTTACCACAATAACCCCAGCCCCCACCCAAATAATGGGTAATTGTTCAAGACGTGCTATCAAAGGGGGCAGCAGAGAGGGTCGAGTGTTAAGAGGCAGCGCTCCCTCCTCTGTTCGTCTTTGATGAAGGGTTCTTCTGCTGAAAATGTAATTCCTCCGTCCTTCTGGATGCTTTCATTGTATTCGAGAGCTTCCCCTAACGACGCCCAGCACTGCAGCTCGGCAACCTCTCCCACTATGTTCCTATGGTAACGACCCACAGTGTGTGTGTGTGTGTGTGTTTGTGTGTCTGGGATATGAGTGATTGTCTATGTTTGTGTGTGTTCATTATGGTAGTGTGGCTTATTTTTACATAATGAATCAATTATCAGAGCTGTGGAGCGAGCTCATTTGAATAATCACAGAGGGGAAAAAAACGCTCTCCACACAACATGATTTCACTGAGCATCCTCACACATCACATGTACAGATCAGTATGTCCCTCAGAGAAGGTGCAACGCTACTCTCTGTGTGTGTCTGTGTGTGTGTGGAGGGGAGATGGTGTATAATGGGACATCCAACTGACATCATTTGCCTGCCAATCTGCACCCTGCTTGCCAAACCCAGCCTCCGTAATAGCTTCACTGAGCAAGGCTGTGGCAGCTACAGTGTCTCTATTTTTAAACAGTCCACGGTACGGGAGAAAGTGTTATACCGCCCCCTGCTGTCCAACGCCGGTCCAGGATTCTGAGCGCAGCAAAACTAGTGTTTATGAGCAGACACAGCCAAGCACAGGACGCATTAGAGTTATTAGAACTTAATTGTGGAACTTGGTTTAATAGATTGGTTCAATATGAAACTTACACATGAGTGATGTGGAGACGTGAAACCTCCAGGTTACACACACACACTGATAATGGAAGTAGACACAATATTTGTATTCATAGATTCTGTATTTTTGAATGAGAGAGGAGTTAGATGTCATTTTAAGATTTATTGAACCAGGTAAAGGAACCTTTATTGTGGAAAAATCAGACACAAACAATCACTCAAAGACAAGTATTTCCTTCAGGGTTTCTGCAGGTTTCAAAAGGCTACATTTAAGACTTTTAGGACCATTATGAATCCAATTTAAGACCATACTGGCAAAAAATCTTTATTTTTTTTACCAAAAGCACATTTTAAGCATTAACTTCATTAATCCAATCAATTT